CGAGTGGATTATTAAAATAATTGTTAAAAGCGTCAAAGTAACTATCAGAGGAACTATTAAAATCATTATGAAGGCGACTATCAAAATAATTGTCAAAGTAATTGCTGAATAACATTGTGCTCGTTCAATGTATCTTGCAATTAGTGAGTTGCGAATCATATAAATAATTAATTGAGTAACTTGATGTTATTTCAATCTTTGTTCAATCATTTTACGATTTAGGAGTCAATGTGTCACCGTTATAGAACCTCGAGCACCTTTTCCGGCGACGAATAGAATGGCAAAGATTTTACGAGGCGCCCGCTGTGCGTTCTATTGGGGCAATGTACGGTAACAATTAGAGACCGTGAATCGTGCGAATTCACACTTTTGTAAACTAATTCACAGGGAGTTCGGTTCGTTCATTAACACTGAAATAACGAGGGTTTTATTCTAGCTGCAACTTCTTACAGCGTACTCGATCGAATACGATCTTCTTGATCTTGGAAGCTTTCAACGAACATACCATTCGCAATAGATTTTTCAATTAATAGTAATTTCATCAAATTTCCATCATAAATGCTTGAATTACGAAGTAATGCGCTGTTATTTCACGCAGATTACCCGCGATTCTCTCCGAGATCCCGTAACGATGTAATCGTTAATTCTTCATTGAAATTAAAAGAGATTACGCGGCGAGTGAATCACGTCGCGAGTAACCAGAATTCGTCGTTAACGCGGAGAATCATCGGGAATCAGCGTGTGCGTCGATTAACGAGAAGAAAAGGGAACAAAAAAGGCGTCCGCTTCGCCGGGAAACAGTTCTTTGTCGCGACACGTGGAGAACTCGATCGGAGCTGATCAACGAAGGCATTAATCGCGGCGATTACCGGTCGGTCGTACGGGAATTCCGCGAATTCTGCCCGCTGTCGCAACGAATTCCCCGCGCATTCAGCCAGTTTTACGTACCGGTCCTTGAACGGGCGTATCACCGAAACGGATGTGAACGTTCCGAAGGCGTTACGTGTGAGAAAACATTTGCACAAGGATATTACGCGATCGCCAATGACTCGCACGCAGCACGGCGATCGTTAGAAAAATCGGTTCGATGAATGAACCGCTTTACGCGATTGTGAAATTCATCCTTGCTCCGCGGGCAAGTGCAATTTGCCACGTTCTCCTTTCCTCCTTCGTTTTCCCTTCTTTTCAAATCGAACACATCGGTAAAGAAGACACAGTTTCGGTTCAATTAAACGCATTGCGTACCGGCTGATTTTCAGAAAACTGAATTGTGATGGCAATTTTCACTGAGGTCAACTTATATCGCTATACCTTAAAAACCTCAGATATATTGTTATGTAATGTATTTTAAATAGATAATCGATTCGAATTAAATTTTGTTTCCAACGCTGTGGTAATTAGCGAAGTTGCATAGCTAAGTGTTTTTATATAAAAACGAGATTTCTCATTACCAATACGCAATGTGAAGAACCTTCAATTCAACACTCACCTAGAAATCGCAGTCGAAAGAATTTCTATAAAGATTCAAAAAAATTTGGTGTTCTACTACAAATGATCGTTCGGAAACTGGAATAAAGAGTTCGAAGTAGCTAAATCTTAGTTCATACATTTCTGTTAATAAATCTACGACAGTTGTCTTCGAATGTTTCAGTTCGCAATCGAATTAACCAGCAATTGATATCTCGCGAGAAGGGGTTCCGAAGATGGCGAGTAATTGAGACATTTTATAACATTCTCGCGTAGAGAAAATATAAATACAAAACAAAAGGTTGCAGCTATAGAGAAAGGATCAGAAGCTTTCACTGAACAGTCACTAAGAGAAAAATTCCTGAAGTTTACCTATATTTAGGACGTTTCCAGGAGGTGTACCCCCCTTAAACCGCAATACGACTAGGAAGTAGAAAATTGCCGGGTGAAATTGTTGCTCGGTATTCCGTGCCGTCTCAAAAGTAGATCTCCGCGAAGAAGCGCGGAGTAGGAAGGGAGGAGGCGGCGGTTACGAGCGGATTTTCGATCCGGAGAGAGATTTGGTGGTCTCCCGGCTGCCAAAAACGTTTCCCCGGTTGGGTCCCCGATTTGTCATGCACTTTCACCGGCGCTTAAATAATAATTCGTGGTGTAACCATATTTTGGAGCGCGGACGTGGCGTCCGAGCAGCGAGAGTGTTCCAAATAAAATAATTCCGCTGTATCGATATCCACGCGAAGAACAAACGGAATTATTCGATCTTCGGGAAGAGGATTAAACGAAAGAGAGAAAAACGCGCGCGGAGAAGGTCGAGGAAAGAAGGAATCGATGATTTTTGCACGGTTTAATGGGTACAATTAATAGCCGGTCGGCGAGATAGAAATGCGAACACACGAGTACTTTCCAATTACCCGGAGCCAGGCTCGATTAGATATCGATTTCTTCTCGGTTTCTTTCGCGCCGGCTCATTTTCGCGTTGAACGTCGGATCGGATCCAGCATGGCCGCCGAAAAGCCATCCGGTTACGGGCTTTTTCTCTTCATGCTCCTGTTCGGCGACACAATGGCCGCCGTTTATCCTTTTCTTTTTCCGTTTCTAGATTTAATGGCCACGGTTAATTGTCTGAAATCGCTTCTTAACCGCTTCCAGGAGAAGCAAACCGTGTAAAATCACCGTCGAAACGGGAAGAAACCTCTGGCTCGCGGAAGAGACAAAGAGATTCTTTGTTCGCGTGATTCCTCGCTCGTTTGCACCAAGAACGCGAGCGCAGATGGAAATCTTTCGGTCTGCTAGTTACGATTTCGATGAATATTGAACGGCACTTCGCGGTGAACGGGATTAACGCTTCTCGGCGTTAATAGAGGCTGCTTAAACGAAGATGTTTCGTGGGAAAATCGAGTTTACACCGATTTTTCGTTCCGCTGGAAAACTTCAGCGAGATCGGCGTTTGATCCGTTAATTAGGAACGAAGATTTTCTGAAACATGTTTTAAGATCACTTAATATGATTTCGTTGGTTTCTTGGATTAAGAACGTTAACGATGATGTCTAAGAAGTTGATTAATGATCGACCATTGGTCGATCGAAGAAACGATGCGATTTTCGTTCTTTTTCGCTTCGAACGAAGACTGTCGCCGAGATATTAATGAAAACGCGATTGATAGGAATTATTAAACGTGTTCCAGGGAATCTTCGCGGGGGCGTGCGGCCGCAAGTTTCGTCAGCAGACACTTTTGTAAGAATTTTAAGCGACGGAGACGAAGGAAAAATACGTCGCGCCGGAAGATTGGGTCATGTAATGGGTTGCCTCGCGCGTCGTTTGCCTACGTCGTTGTCAATTTAACGAGAAACTTTCCACCCGCGCGACAAACAATAATTCAAAACTTTCTTTCAGTGTCTCCCTCCCTTCGGGGAAGGATGCGCCAACACTCCCGATGAACTTGGAGCAGTATTTCCCGTCTGTCGCTAATAAAAATATGACCCTTTGTGAAACGCACCTTTACGTAACGTTTCCTCAAGATCTTCAATAGTTTGTTCATCCTCCGAAGTCTTCCCACTGAGTCCAGCGAATGGTCTCAATAACAGCTCGAAGAACACGAGTTCCTGAAAATAAACAATAAAAAAGACATTCTTAACTCTTTACAAGCAAATATCATAAAACATCAGGCTTTTCCCAACATTAACCGTACCGGCAGCATTCCGTAACCAGTCAAATAACTGGCAAGAAAAGGAAGCAAAAACAAAAATTGAAAAACTGATTAACACTAGAACTACGTACCAGTCAAAATGACTGGTTTCGATTCTTTTGTTTAGCAATTATTGATATCTTCTATTGTTACAATTTTTATGGGAATTGCATATTAATCGTATTAAATGCTCCGTAGGTCTAGTGTTAATCGGACGATATAGGAATTGATATGAACGTACGACAGAAAACGCAGAATGTTGCATCCGATCGTTTAACCGATATTATAGTATAAAGATGTACAGCAAATAATTCTGTTCAAGATAACAGAAACAAAACGAAGAACAAAACTTAGCCAGCGATACGAAGAAGCTTCTGTATAAGTAGTCTAGTGCTTTATACAACGAGATTCCCAAAAAAAGCGTGAAAAAGCCGGGCTGATTTCATCGAGCAAAGGTTGAAATATAAAATGATTCACCGTGCGCCGATCGAAGGACGACCGTATCCTTCCGATCGGTCGATTTTCCCGTTCGAAGAGGCAGAGAGAAGAGCCCGAGCTGAGGCCGGCGTGCTGGGTGCTGGTGGGGGTCACACGAGAGAGTTTTACCTACCGAAATGAAACTACTCGCCGGAGAAAGTGAGAGCCGAGGTAGCGGACGGTGGGCAACGACGAGCAGGCGACCAGGGCTCCTCGAGACGAGAGGATAGACATGGTGCGAGCCCTCGATCGCGTGGATCCTCCAAACCCTTCGACGAACTCTTCCGGTTGATCGATACCAGGGAAACAAAACCAACGCCGCAACTAAGAGGAAATCTACGAGGAAAATTCTAAATCTTCAAAGAAACTCCAATTGAAACTTCGAGTAAGTTTAGAGGACACTTTCAAGATTTGAAGAAACGTTGAGGATGGTCTGAAGAGATTCGGAAGCTTCGAAGAAACCTTCCGGAAAGTCTGAAGAAACTTGGAAGAAACTGTGGAAGAAAGTCTGAAGAGGTTCTGTAAAGATTCTGAAGGAAACTGGAGGAAACCCGAGCGGATTCGTTAGAATAGATCGTTGGGTGATTTCGATCTTTTAACTGGAGAAAGAAGTTTACTTGGAAAAGGAGGATGCCAGTGGCAGCATGATCGCGTAAAGAACGATGAAGAGAGTTCTCAGGTGACCGTGAAGTATTCGGACAATACGGGATTTAATCTGATCGCGATCGGTGGATCGCAGACGGCCGCGTGTGACGAGAGATTCGTGTTAGGGGACTCGACTCGAACTTCGTGCCCGTTGTTGTGTTATGGTGGTGAGGACTGTTCACGGTAGGCTTGGAAGAAAACGAGGAAGAAGAAGAGACGGCGACGAGGGCGGAAGGATCCACGCAAGAAGATCATCGAGAGTTTAAGAGAGCCGATCGGAGAGCGGAAAGGTTCATTCGGAAAGGATTGTTCTGGTCCGAGAGATCGGTAAGTCGATTTTTACGCTTCGACTTCTGGGAAGGAAAGGGGGAATTTCAAACGTCTCGGTTCCCCGTTCACTTTTCATCGAGATTGAATTTAATCTCGTTCATTTTGTTTGGCTAATTAATCCAGCTAACTGCGGGGAATGGGAATTCGTAATACAGATGGAGATTCTGCCCCGTACGATGAGAAATTAAATCCGCCTACAAAAACGTTCAATCGTAATGAGAAATGGTCTATTACTGGGTAATAAACTTCTTCGACGTACGATGCTTCTATGATGTTCAATATTTATTGTAATTTGATGAAGCGTGTAATTACTGATTTTATAACGGTTCATAAGACGGAATTTTCTACGATAATTGTTAATGCTCTGGCTGGATAATCACTGTCGAGTAAGTGAAACTGTTTAAACTGTAGATTGAATAACTCCGTAATTGTCGTGACATATGCGAGCATGACGGGGTCACGAATAATTAAACTTTATTAATTTTGTGACAACAATTTCATATATATATATAAGCACATAGAAACAAGATTAATATTCGATTTGAAGTTCGCGAATGGCGTTATTCACCGAAGAATTTTAATCCCTTGCAATATTCTGTTGGACTCGTCAAGATTTCAAATAGAATTTAACAAACATAAGTATCATTCAATTTGTTGAATAAAAATGATGTATTATTCCTCTGTTATCAATGATTATACCTTAGAGCACACGATAAAGAAAAAGACTGGAATTTTCTCTTATTGTTAAGAAATTATTAATAACAAGGTGGTTAGGTCGATCACGGTTTAAAAAGAAATCATAGAGCAAGCGGTTAATAAATCTCGAACGCAGGGGATTGCGACACAACGGCCAGACGACCGTCATCGGAAAAATCGAGTGAAAGTGAGAAGGTCTGGATCAGCTTTTGAAAGAAAGCCTATCCACTCTGCTCGGCTGTCTGTCATGCAAAAACACTCGTGCGGTGAGATGGACGAACCAAACTAGTGATTTTAATGCCAGGCCGGGCCAGCCGATCATTACAAGGAAATCAATGACCTTTTACCAGCGAACCGCTGGCCAAGCGATTCACGTTTCCATCGACGGGGAAATTAATGGATGGGAACATTGTTACCAATGCGATTCGAGGGAATCCGATTACTGTTTTAACGGCCGCTCGCCGGCGCGTAACAAAATCGTCGTATTTCTGCGATTAATGGGGGTAATCCGACCGATTGGATTCGCTGCTACGTGGAAATCGACGACTTAATGGCGCATTGTTGCGCGAGGATGGCCGGGAACAAGTGCCGGACGAACACGTTTCAAATTAAGGAAAGAGGGAAACCGTAAATACGCATTGACGTTCACACGCGATCGAACACTGTTGACTAACAATCATTAAACAGTTGGTTTTGTGAAAACCGGCAAGAATAATAGAAAGTAATCAAGATTACCAAGTCTAATAGTGTATAATATATACAGAGAACTTCGAAATAGATTAAATTCAATGTTGTTTATTGAATTACAGTCGATTCATACGTGAAAACTACATTCTTGCAAATATTAAAGAAACGCAGCTTAACAGATCGTTTCTTCGTTGTTCGAACAAGACCAAAAATGATTATCAAGAGATCTCAGAAATTGCTTGAATGCAAGACACGGATCGACATTCAAGGTAGCCACGTGCGAAGAAACCGTTTTCAGGGGCAACGAAGATCAACCCGAAAAAAAAGTGAGATTTCACGTAGCCGCGATGGCTCGTGGTCATCGAAATCTTTCGACTTTCCGGCCTCGTAGCCAGTGAAAGTACTTCCGTCCATTTCCAAAACGAGACGTCCGCCCCGGGAGGGGGACAAGCATTAAGGATGCACGCTTCGGTACCGTTCCACGGATTGCCTAAACACACCACTCCCCCTGTTTACGTAACACCGTCCGATACAAGTTCGAAGACGGCGGCCGCCATCTTGTCTTCCCGCTACGCCGGGCATCATCTTCGACGCTACATTCGAAGAACCGCGCTGGAATCTCACGAACGTCAACTGATCTTGATGAAACTTTGGTAGAAAGTAGTTCTCACAAGCATATTTGACACGTGTCTCTTCATTAGCCAATCTAACGCTCACAGATTGAAAATAGGTCTCCGCGTTTCGGGAAATAATGTTCTCCGAACCGACTGACTCCGCAAAATAACAAATAGACGAAACTGAGCACGTTTAAACTAAAATATATATATACTTCCTGAAAACACAATTAAAGTTTGACCATCAGAGGAGCTCGCAGGCCTTTTTTGTGATATTTTGAAAAGTATTAATTTAATATTTGTATTATTTTGAAAAGATTTAACCAGCAAAATCACGTGTTTTCTAATAAGGAATCCGCGATCGGTATGTGTTCCCTTGTTAGACTCGCTTCGAAGTCCAATTAAACGTTACTTTGTGGGTTACCGTCTGCTGCTCCGTTTAGCTTCCCGGCAAGAAGCTCCGCGCCGCTCATGAATATTCAATCCCGCTCGTACGGGCGCTCGCGAGAGCACGTTACCCGATCCGACACACTTTTTCTTTATTTTCATCTCGCCCGCTGCTGGGATTACGCTGTTTACGAGCGAATTAATTTCTCCGTGAAAGTAACAATGCGGATCGCGTTCCGCGCTCGAGCGCGACACTCGAGTCGCGTTCCTCCGGACGACGAAGAAAGAGGATCGCAGAACTGAAAGTCTCGATGAATCGACGGGGGATCGGATGAAACGAAGAAGAAACGTTCGAATCTCGAAGCACGAGAATAATGGAATGAAATATATATATATGTATGTATGTATATATATATGTGTGTATATATATATATATATATATATATATGTATGTATGTATGTATATATATGTATGTATATATATATATATATGTATGTATATATATGTATATATATATGTATATATATATATTCGTTACACAATGGAAAGTGTTCGTCATGAAAGGGTATCGGTGAACTAGACCGCGAAGAAGCGTGGCTCTTTCAAGGCCACGAAGAAAGAGCAGAAGCTGTGACGTTCAGATTTCTTCGAACCGGTTTCCTTCGAGAGGCGTACGTTGCGTCGTGTAGCTACACTCGCGCGTGTCCCAGTGAAGCATCCAAGGGCGTATTTTCGCCGAAAGTCGCGTGAAAAACGAGAGTCCGCGGTTTCCGGCTGACGCGTCCGTCCCCGGACGCCCTCGTGGCTCTCCTGGAAGACGATTCTCGCCGGGACGCTTTCTTCCGCGAGAAAAGAGCAATTAAGCCTCGACGATGCTCATTAACGTTTATCGTCGTTATTATGAATATTGATATTCGTCCGACGAATATTCTTCCCTTGAAATTTAATGTTCCACGGTGACCGAGCTAACCTTCGTCGAAACCTGATGCATTTCTCTGTATATCTGAAGCAGTTTCTACGGAAATTTTGAGCAGCTATTCGGAATTTTAACGTGTTCGATTTATATTTGAAAACGAATCTTTAGAATAAGTAGAGTGCATTTATGGCTTATGAAAGTTTCCAAGGAACAGTAAAACTGAGGTTGTGGTGGACGCTGGCGGTGTCTGCTTTTGGTTTGCCGATACTACTCGTATAGGAAGAAAGTTCTGTATTATTTCAGTCTTTCTAAATTCTATGAAGAATTATAAATAATAATTATTATTTATAATAATAATAATTAATAATAATAATTAATAATTATTATTTATTAATAAAACTAAATTCTAAAAATTCTAAATAATGGAATAATTGTTTCATTAGTTCATGCCGAGTATGTTTTTTTGTGTTTCCAAAGGTTTGAAGATCGTTTCGCAAGACCGAGCTTACCGGTCGTTCCAAGATCCGAACGCTCGATCCCGATCGAGGAGCCGGCTCGTACGAAAACAAAATTTCACGCGCGCCTCTTATTTTGGCTTTTTCTCGGTTCGCTTTCGGCGAAAGTAAACGGCGCCCGTGCGCGTCGCAGAGAAAGTAATGGATCGTGCTCTTAATGTCGGTTCACACGGAATTCGGGATGCGGACACGGCCGTGTGGCGCCAATCGACCGGTCAGTGATCGAGGATGATCGTACGCACGCGAAGGTGTGAAAAAGAAAGGTATATATACACTGTCGGCTAAAAGTATCGGCCTGGTTCGATTATTATGCTATTTTATGGCGATGATATCACTGTCGAACGTGAAGGAATAATTGGTTATTATTGAAAATTTTCAATACTGGTCTTGCACGAGGAAGAACATATAATCGGTATCTTTATTTATATGATTACTGATGAATTTATAGTGTCCACCGTATAGAATTTCATTTACAACGCAAATGTCGACTGGAATCTAGTGAAGCAATAATTAAGGAGTCCCATTTAGATTGAGCCCGTATGCGAAGAATGTAATTATTTAATAATCAAACGGTGATGACACCTTATTACCATACGGTATGCATCATTCGTATGTAACCGCATAATCACGCGTACGTCCATAATTACCTACCCGTTACTCCAGTTTGTCGTTCCCAATTTGTAGAAAGCAGCTGTACGACGTTTCCTGCGATGCTCGCTATCATTTACAACGACTCAGCGCAAAAATTGTCGTGCCGGTCTTCGTGCAACATGCGATTAAGTTCATCTGAAATAAGTGAATGTCACTAGCTTACTCCAGATGGTCCATACAGCTATTTTATAAAACTTCCTTCTGATTCATTGTAATTATATAAATCTCGCGATGTGTCTATTCATTAGAAAATTGATTATTAAAAAATTGAAACCGGTCTGCCTCTTGGTTTTCGTTATTCATCTATGCATATTATTTCGTCGCGAGAAAAGTTGATACAAAAATATTTTCGTCCCGGTGTTTTGATCGACGGTGTACACGCGTGCAACGCACGTGGGCTTTCACGAACAGCTGTGAAACGAAGCTACAATTAAGTGCGGTGTTGTATCTCTGTATACCGGGGAGAAGAAACTCCGTACTTTCGAGGATCGACAGCGTGCACGATAGACTCCGGCGGCTAGGAGTCGTAGAGGAAGGTGAAAGTTCGTACGACTCGTTCGAGATCCTCTTCTCCGCCGTTCGTTCCATAATTTTTTTCCGTTTTTCCCTCTGCTCGAATCACTTTTCCTTCGATCGGATCCGAGAAGGAACAATCGCCTCGACACACTTTAATCGGGACTTTTAATTGATATACCGATCGATAGATCCCAAAGAACTTTAATAAACGCATTAGCATATTCTCGAAGACATTCGATTCCCATCGGATCGACTTCGCACGAGAAAATCCAATTGAAATCACGGAAGCAAAAGTTGCGAAGAAATGCTAATTACAACATTATCTCACAGAAGAAAATGAAGATTATCGGTATCGAACGCAGGTAGAAAATGAAATAAATTGTCAGTGTGATTTTCACTTTTCTTGCCGCGACTCATTTTTCCCGTTTTTCATCTATCCCCTTCACTTCGCGTTCGTCTAACAGGACGGCGTGTTTTGTTCCGTCGTGTTCTGCAACTCCGCAGAAATTTGCCACATTTTCTATTTCATATTTTTCTGTTCACCCCGCCGCGAGCCGTGTACCTGCCAAGAACCGCAATTTGCACACAATGGAGTGCACCGGAATTTTTTCTCGATTTCCCATCGTGTCGATGGTATCGGATATCTATGGGAACACGGGGGGGAAAAGGAGAGGAAGAGACAGAGAGAAAGAGGAACGCGTGGCCGATCGTTCGTAACTTCCGGCGGGGCGGGTGGCGCAGCGTGAACGTGAACTTCACACTGTCGTGGATGCAAGAGGTGCACTTTCACTTCTCCTGGATCTACACGACAGAGCCAATGACCTACTAACACAACGAACCGTTCACTTGCCACGACGACGCTCGCCGCGGCAAGGACGTTCGATTCCTCGATCGTTATCACTCGTTTTCGATACCGTTCTCAAACTTTTTTCTCCTTTCGCTAGAACTTTAAACTGTGGACAATGGAACCTTTCGTAGTTTGCAGTTTGTATGCTCAATTTGAGCTGTGCTCCATCAATCTTCAGTTAACAGTGATTTGAAGTATGGATCGATTGAACGCTTGAAACTTCAAATTTGAAGTTGAAAATTTGAAATTTAACATTTGAGAATTGAAAGTAACCTAAATAAATTCCAAGGAATAAGAAGAAAGGTTCCATTTCCTAAAATTTCGAAGACACCGCCCATCCAGCGGCAATCAAGCAAATTCCCTAGGGTCAGTCACCTTCTCCGATGAACGAAAAATCAAGATAACCCATCCCCGTCGTAGAATCCCATCTCGCCTTGAAATTTCCCGTCCCCCGTCCCGCGTGCCACGGCGCGACGAACAATCGGACTTCTTTTTCCAGCCGGATTTTTAATCTATTACGAAACGAGCGTCGGGGCAAGGGCCGTTACGTGGTTAAATTGGCCTGAACGTGGTCGAACTAGCGATTAATGCGGCCGGCACGACGAAACGGTTGCCCAATCGTCGTCAACTTGGACACGAAACTCGCCCCGGCGTTTTCACTCCTCGGTATCGCCGATAATTGCCCGGCGAGGATGCTGCTGTTGCTGCTTCTGCCCGGCGCCATTACGGATCGCCGCGAGTATAATCGATGCGTGGACCGGGTTCCGGGTTCTCAAGAACTCTTTTTACTTTCACCCGTTACGGAGCGACGTGACGCAAACAACGTGTAAGTAGGAACGACGGTGGAAGAGGATGAGATCAGATGGATCGTTTCTTCGAGAAACGATTCACTTTCGAAAGAAAACTTTAAACGATCGTTTTATGGTGAAGCAAAGAGGCATATTATTCCCATAGAATGCTCCCCGCGTCATGCGATATTCTTTCGAGAAATGATTTACTTTGAATAGGAACTTTAAACGATCGATTCACGGCGAAGTAAAAAAGTTCCTCCCAAAGTATGTTCTTCGATTCGTGCGATGACTTTTTGAGAAATGAGTTCACTTTGACGAGGAACTTGAAGCGATGATTTTCTAGAAATTTTAGAGAATACTATTGTTTCGAATTTGGCGTATGTCTTTGTTACTTTCGAACGGTAGTGTACAATGGAAGTATTTGAGATAGTTGAGATGTCGTAACTAGTGTAAGATTTTATGATCTTCCCTATGATGACACCTAGACGATCAGCACCGGCTTGACGGGGTGGGGGTTGACGACCGGAGAGAAAGTGGGAAAACCAGTTCTCGTTGGAAAATATTCCGATCATTCTGACGGGATTCTTCTGATGACCGTGGAAAGGGGTTTAGGAGAGTCTGGTTCTGGTTAGTCGCGAGTAAGATCGTTGTTTTCTTCTCGGTTTTCTTCTCAGCGTTGAATACCGGACCGAATCGATGGAAATACTTTCTTTCAATCTAGTCACTCGGATTAACACTTTTTACCTGATTCCCTGAACGAAAGCAAGTTTATGTGGAAGCTTCATTCATTTCTCTTTCTCCTGGTTTTTCTCTATACCGTAGAAGAGAAATTGTACGTTGAAACGGCGACCGATCGATCATCGGAATCGACGAATTAATACCTATCTCTGCTCCGTAACGCGCGAAATCTTCGAAATCGTTCTCGCGAAAACCGTGACGAACGCCGACGAGTTGACGAAAGTGAAAGAGCAGTTCGATATCGTGCCGAACGATCCGGTCCACGGATCGTCGCGTGTTGCATCTCCAAAGGGGACAGAAAAATGAAGAAAAATGGGTTCGTGACGACGCGAATTTCGTTCGGCTGCGTGTTCCCTGGCTCGTTGCTGTCGATCACGCAACGTTCCCCGCGCGGTTTTTCAAAATTGCGTCTAACGACCCGAGGGATCGAGGCAGCGGTCAATTTTGCGCGACGCGATACCGAGGATCGCGGTGAAAATCCCGATAGATCGCGATCTAGATCAGACTCCTCGCTAGAAATCGTGGCCGAACAAGAGGAACAACGATTTAATTGTCTCGCGTGACGGGATATAATTGACCAGCGTTATTCTCCTCGTACAACGGGATCGTTCGATTTTCCAGCAACCCCTCGCTCGTTCCCCTCGATTCAGATCGTTCACCCCATCCGATCGCGGTATATTACTCGTATCTGCGAGCAGTATTTGTTTTATTCGTTCCAGCTCGCGATACGTGTTATCGAGCCAGTATCGGTTAACTAACAATTTGCTCGGGATAATTGCGAAAGCGTATCGGTGAAACTCGACGAGATAACCGATACTCGAGGTCGCGAGAAGAACGAAGGATCGGAAGGGAACGAAACTACCAACGTTTTAAAAACGTATCCTATTATACAAACTCGACCATCAATATTCTCGATAACGTGTCCTATAAATCAAAAATATTAAACCCATAACTGCATGAAACTCAACAGCATAGTCGCGACGAAGAATCTTCTCAGTGTCCACTTCGTTAAAAGAATTAAACCAAAAATCTGAATCGCTAAACTTAACCGTTTGCGGTCCGAAGTGCTCTTGGTTTCTCACTGTGAAGTTCACGTCGACGTTAGTTCATTCAATTACAGCTTAATACGACGCTCTATTTATTCAAGAATATTTGGGAGTCATTGGAATGTTACTTTTAAATGGTACAATTGTGATACTACAAATAAATATAGAAAAAATTATTAAAACATGTAGAGGTTGCAATAAAATAGAATGTCGAGTCTGACTCGACATAGGACTGCTAAGGGTTAAATGTAAAATAGAATAAAAGTATACATAAACAACAAATACTGTATCCACTCACCATTGTCATCCATTTCCAGCCAAACGATGGGTGCAGCGAGGTCCAGCCAATGGTTGCTATTGGGAATAGTCTTCGTAATCTCTTCGAGTCGTGCCACAAGTGAAACGGAGGTCACCGGTGTACTGCAGACTAGGCCAGAGACGATCTTCACGTCGGTGATCGAAACACGGAGCAGCAACGACGCGAATCGTACCGATTTATCGCCGGGTTCGCCGCGAAGACGTCGATACGTCCGATTCCCCACTGGTCCCGCCGGTTACCTGTTCGAGGGTGGCGGCCCTCCGACGGGGAGGAACATCGGCGTGCCACCCAGTTTGCGATACCCCTCCTGGAGGCAGCACAAATCGCTATGGAGGAGCCCGGTCTCGGATTACAACAGACCGGTGATGGGCCATCGAACGCCTCGGCTGATCTTCCGGGACAACGATTTCCCACCCCCCGTGGGCGGCAGCGCACCCTCTTTCTTCCAACAGTCGAATCATTTGCCGGACTTCGAGGACGACGTCAGAGGTAACGACAACCGGCAACGAGCGCTTCGGGTAAAACGAGGCTTGGATCATCCTTTAGGGGTGACTCTTTGGTACAGGGGAAGGGACGAGGGAAATCCTGCACTGGATTGCTTCTAGCTTCTCGCCCTTTCGGGTGATTTCATCTGAAATGAGGTTTCACGATAGAAATGAAGCTTGTGATCAGATTTCTTTGTTGCACGGAGGAGTGAGGGAATTAAGTGCAGGATTCTTCGTGGGAATTTAGCGATTTCTGATTGAGTTTTATCGAGTACTGAGGGAGGATCTAGTAAAAGAGGAAAAAAGACATTGTAGTCTGAATAGTCGAAGAATCAATATTCTACATTTTTCTAATCTTGCGATTAGCATTGGAACTACCAGACGAGACAGAGTTAGCCATATTGTCTTCTTTGCAATTATTAACCCTTAGCACTACAGGTTGTTTTGTAATCTATCAGCAACTGCAACTAATTTTTATTGTATTCCTAGCGAAAATGAGAAATGCTATAATATATTCTTAGTAGAAAATTTGGATGTGCGAAAATCTAATAATTTTAGAGTAGTTTCTTTAAGATTCATTAAAATATTTAATATTATAACCGGTGCAATATTGGAGCCTACAGAGTTCAAAGGGTTAATAAGATAACAAACGTTTCTCGGAGAAATTATCAAAGAAATTGATTCAGCGCTAGAACTCAATACTAAATCAATTGTCTCAACAGATCCACTATTCGAGTTTCTATAAAGAAATCTGCAAGACTCGATTTAACTCGGTAGTTTTAGTGTTAAACGAGATACGAATGCGAGAGTAGATTCGAATGAAATTTGCTCGCTGTTTGAGCTGTCGCTGTTAGAGTAAGCGAAGTTGCTGGCTTCCTTTCGGCGGCAAAAGTAAGAGAAGGTTTCTTGTTTCAGATCATCGAAAGCAAACGCTCGACGATTACCCTAGGTTAGAGTCAGGTACGTTCCCCTTTCAAGCAAATCGTACGACCGGCGTTCCCGGGGAACGGCGGCGGCAACGGCGGCACCGATGGCTCGTGGTACCTGCCGAGCGGCCGCGCGCACCTGTTGAAAGCCCGTTTCGCCAGCGTGCCTCCGGTCTTTCGCTAATCGGGCCCGAGTGAAACCGATACTCGCAGCCGTGTTGCATCGCGCCTCTCTCGGATTTCGTGTTTCTCTCGCGGATAATCGTAAATTAAGCCGGCCACCCGGGCGCAATATCCTAGCGGGATGTCGAAACGATTGTGACAGCCGTTCCCGTTTCCGTCGGGCCGACGATTTCCGTCATCCGCGAGCGCGAGCACTCGGCCTGGCTCGCGCCGTTACGACAGACGGGCAAACCTTTCCTGTCGCCATTTACGATTTCGTTAAACCCCGTTATCGCGATTGTTCTGCGTGTACAGGGTGTCCCATTCGGAATCGACGCGCGGGAAATACCTTGTGCAGAATTGTTTCTCCTAATATTTCTACTTACAAAGGAATCACTCGCATCGTGTCTTACTATATGCTCGCGGAACGGTTGAATTTTCAAATTGGAACATTAATCAGCCTAACGATTCGTGAGACGCAAATGGAACACCCTGTATAACTCGTTCCACGGTTACCCCGTAAAAGCGTTCCATTTTGCCGGGAATTGCTCAACCATATCCTTTCCGTCCTCCGGCTTTGCTTAAGAGAAAATTAGAAATATCCGAAGCTAGGCTTGGAGTAATCAGGCGCCGATCGATCGGGTCGCTCGTCGATCGGTCTCTTCTTCGTTTGCGTCCTGGAACGAAAAAGGAAGAGGCGAGATGAGGGACGATTTGTTTAAAGAAATTACGGGGAGAACGGAGGGGGGAGAGAGGAGAGAGAGAGAACAGTTTAGCCTGTTTTGTGCAGAGCCGCGTCAGCAAAACAGACCGCTGTGGAAGGGTGACGATTCGTTGTGCGCTGACGGACGAAGCTGTGAATTTTTTCTAATGTGCTGGATGTCCGCTGGCCTATTGGACGGCAGTTGCGGCGGCATTATGTTCGCTTGTTGTCAGCGGCAAGAGCCGAAAGGTAGCTCTGATTATAACCTGATCGATGCGCCTAGAGATCAGTCTCAGCCGCTTCCGTTGGACACTTACACGGAGACCGCCAATGATGATCGTAAGTCCTTCCTACTGAAGCATGCCATCCGATTCTTGCACTAGCATGAGCACACGCTATCTTCTTCTTCTTTTTCTCTTCTATCGGGAACGGTCCCCTAAATGTCCCTCGCTTCCAAATATTTCTTAGTTGTTCTCGTTGCATCGTCTTCCCTGTAGTTCTCTCTACAGATTACATTTCGACTTCATTGCCCGTAGAGTCCTCCGTAGTTTCGGGATACGTGGTAGCCAAGGAACAAATGGTAAACAAAGAATATACTCCTGTCTCGATTAATTCTTCTAACGGATCACCTGCACCCTCCTCAGCATGAAAAACGAGACCCGATCCCGATTATTCGAAAAACTCGTCCACGCGTTCCCCCCCTGTAGCGTTGGTCTATGCCCGTTCGCACGTGTTTGTCTCTTCTCGCCTTGAAATTCGACACTCCGCGCTCTCCTCAGCATGCCGAAACCGTTCTCCACTTTCGAATCAGCCTCCCCGGTACTCGCACTTTCCTCAGCATGCCGTCGAACGTCGCCACTTTCTCTATTCGCACCTTTCAAAGCATGAAAGTACGCGCACCGTTCCCTATCCTCCCAGTTTCGCCTGTCGTCCTTCGTCCTTCTCCCGCGTACGCGGCTCGAGCGGACGATCCTTGTCTCCCTTTGTTCCCCCAGCTCCCGGGGACGAGATTCCCCGAATTCCATCAACTCCGTCTTGTCAGTCGTATCGATCTCGCATGCCGATCACGATATTCCGCTCCGCGCGTCTTCGCTGGTACCGGCGGGAGATTCACTTCCGGCCCCCCATTGTTCACGAGGAAAGTGTCTATCAGTTTCCCCGAAGACGGTCCCCCGGCGTTCGTTCAACGCGTAGATCGATCGCGATCGAACATTGTACATAAATACGTCTGTCTAACGGCCCGTAACGAACTCTTCAACTTTTGCATTCGGATTCGCGACTCGTCCGAGTCTCGACTTCTTCTTCTCGACTCGAGAAGATCTTCTCGTTCCTGGTTTCACTGTGTCCACGTTCCACTGGATTACTCCAAGTCTAATTCGGTAATACTGATAAGCCGTCGGGCGATAAACAACCGGTCGTAACGCGTGCGCGATGTGTTCCCAGCTTTCTAGATATAACGCCGCTTTAATTGAAACGAATCTGAATACCGACCGGTCGTTTATTCCTCGAGAGTTTAACTGCTTGGTCTGCAGGTCCATTTACCGCAATCGGGAGAAACTCGTCCGACAATTTAGAGATCGATTGGATAATGTCGATGTTTAAATCAATGCGTCCGTTCTTCTCGAACGCGACGTTTCTGTGTAACTTGCTCGGTTTACTAACTCTCTTCAGGAAGTGCCCGCGAACGGGAATGCAAACGTTCGTTGTCCTAGACTTAACCGGGGATCTACATCATTGTAATTACAGGTTGCGGGATCCCCGCCTCGAAACAGACTGCCCAGAGGAGAATCGTCGGCGGTGACGATGCTGGTTTCGGCAGTTTCCCATGGCAGGTCAGACTCGCATCGATGAATCGAGATTGCGTTTCTTTTTCTTTTCAATTCTTTTCTTTCTTTTTTCTTTTCTTTCTCGTTGAAATACACAACGAAGAACGTATTCAACAGAGAAACCGTTCTACTTTCTCAGGCGTACATACGAATCGGGTCCAGTCGTTGCGGAGGCACGCTCGTCAATCGGTTCCATGTCGTCACTGCTGGCCACTGCGTTGCAAAGTGAGCAGACCGCTAGACAATATTCAGTTAATCCGAGGGTTCCGTTCATTGGAGTCTCGATAATTCGTTGATTTTCCTCGCCAGGGCGTCGGCTCGTCAAGTGCAAGTGACTCTAGGGGATTACGTGGTGAATTCCGCCAGTGAAACGCTGCCAGCTTACACTTTCGGTGTCAGGGAAATCCGTGTTCATCCTTACTTTAAGTTCACTCCTCAGGCTGACAGGTAAAATCATCGATACTCGATTATACAAACAACCTTGAATTATCCGACGGTATGAACCGAAGATATTCCCGGATTGTCGATGAATCATTTCAGATTCGACGTGGCTGTTCTACGTCTGGATCGGCCGGTTCATTATATGCCACATATAGCCCCGATTTGCCTGCCCGAGAAGAACGAGGACTTTTTGGGCCAATACGGTTGGGCAGCTGGATGGGGCGCTCTTCAAGCTGGTACGTAGACTGATTTACTTGAGGAAGGTAATCGTTTTATTCTACGCGGATTATTCTACGCTGATTTCGTCTAATTGCAAAGGGTCGAGGCTGCGACCGAAGACGCTACAAGCTGTCGACGTACCTGTGATAGACAACAGAGTCTGCGAGAGATGGCATCGGTCTAACGGCATCAACGTCGTCATCTACGATGAGATGATGTGTGCCGGGTATCGTGGAGGTGGCAAAGACTCCTGCCAGGTGAATCTTCAAGCTTTTATCCGTTGGGAATCGAACTTGTCGGTTACTAGGTCCAGGATTATTGGAATTCTAGCGGCTGCTAAAACAGTGGATGATCATTGACAATTGTTTCTTATCGTTTTATTTTCTAGTTATGCTCATTCTTTGAATTGATCTAGAACCTGTCGTTCAACGTTCTCGCTAATGATTTTCCGCGTGGGATTCGCAGGGCGACAGCGGCGGGCCATTGATGCTGGAGAAAACAGGTCGCTGGTACCTGATCGGCATAGTCTCGGCTGGTTACTCGTGCGCGCAGCCAGGACAGCCGGGAATCTATCATCGCGTGGCGAAGACCGTAGACTGGATCACTTACGTCATCAATTCGTAGCGGGGATCGATGTCCAGAGGGAAATGGATACTGTTCTCTGCACGCTAGGGGGAACTTTGCATGAAACAAAGTTCGTGACAGTTGTGACACTGGATATGAGTCTTTAACACGTTCACGAATGGCCAGTAGATCCTAAACGATCCGGGGGATCCTGCTGGATACACTACGACTAAAAGTAACCGAGGAATGTCGGCCATTCCGCAGTTGACTGGTGTAAATACGAAGTCAAACAGCAAAATGATCTTGAACATCGTTGAGAAGAGACTTTTCTTTTTGTATAAAGAGCGAAAGTGGAACGAAGCGAATCGACCTTGCACGCGCGCCCGACGACGCGGCGAGGCGGCGCGTGTAAATTTCTTGTATTTATCGTCGGCGAAGCTTTTCTCATCGATCACCGAGCCCTCGAGCGGTAGAACTCCCGAAACTGATCGCTCGTCGCCTCGGTCCTCGATCAACCGGTGCGGACTGTATGGACGTGAATATTTTGTAAATTAAGTGCGTGTGATATTTGTTTATATTCGCGCTTAATAAATGTTCGATTTTTATTCTATCGAGGTATTCATTATTGAACTTGGAGTATTATTTACCGGACGGTTGACAGTTTCTCAGTAACGATTCTTGGGACGTTCTTCTAACACTGTAAAAGGACGATCGGTTAATCGACTGGAATGTTCAAGGGGATTGACAAAATAACAGAAGACGTGTTTACATGAAATACATACTTTGTTATTCGACAACCGCTATATCTCAACGTAAGCATAGCCGTCGCAAGTAGTAGAACAACGCGCTTAAGTATTTTATTTCCATTGCGTAAATAAGTACACACTTATCTCGTTATCCGTGGCGAACGATAATCATTCCGCGACAACGAGGGTCGAGAGATCTTCGCGTATTCCGGGCCGCGGGGAAACGGCCGGCTTAAGTATGATACGTTGGGATAAACTAGAGCTTAGTTACGTGTCCCCGTGATCACACCAAAAAAAAAGAACTTAGGCTCCCGTTCCCGCGACGGGGAAACCGTTTCTCCGGTACGAAATAAAAACGAGTAACATGCTTTCTTCTTCTCTCGCGATCGAAGGGGGCAATACGGCAGCCGTGCTTGATCATCGATAAAACGACAGTATCGACCGGAAACGGTGCGGCCCGCCGCGGGAACGGGAATAATTGAGCCAACCAATTCGCCTATGGTTCTCTAGTTAGAAGAAATCCATCCGGACCCGCGTCCGTCTATAACAAAAAACAAATTCGACAGCATCGGACGCGGGTCGTGGTTAGTTTTGAATTAAGTATCCCTTCGAAACCGCAGTGGAAAGGAAAGAACGAGAAGAGCGAGAGGAGAGAAAAGGAAAGAAAAAAAGGGAAAACGATAAAGATTACTTCGCGATCGGAGGACGATCAAGTTCCAGGGAGCAAGGAGAACATCTATCTATCTAGCTACTTCGATCGGCCTGCGTCGTGGGTGTTGTCCGCGTGAAGATTCCCGATCCACACCTGGCACGCAGGGCGAGTTTTAAAATTTCATCATCTAAAATAAATAACACTGACGATAATACTTTCTCGAGAGAGTGACGTACACGCTCGAAATACTAGCAAAAGGGGCGTAAGGGGAGGAGGATGAGGAGGAGGATGAGGAGGAAGAGGACGAAGAGAGATCGGGTCAAAAGGGACCCGTTCGGTCCAAGCAGTATGGCGGACGTGTGGTGTGCTCGATGCGTCGCACGTCGGCCATCAAGCTGTCGCGAACGACCGCCCGTCCGTTTGCATTCTAAATGCACCGTGAGAACGATAGCGGAGATCGTGCCGTGGGAAGTTGTCGCATCGTTCATTGTTTTGAACACTTCCGTGTCAAGTCTTCTGATGATGCTCTTTTAATCATGGCGTTGCTGAACTCGGCCCGTTTCGCGGCGATCAGTTCTACGACCAGACCAAGCCGACTAAAACTTCTATAAACACGATAAAAGAAACGTACGTTTCAGAACGACACCCGGTTCATTCTCTAGCGTCGATTCCACGAGGACAAATATTCCATTCAATACAAATTTACAACTTTATAATACAACATTCGCACGCTATCTACAATATTCATTGCCTCCTCGGCCGAGACGGTTGATCGAAAAGAGGAACCTTTAAAATAAGATACCCCCTGTATCGATGGGAAATTAAAATTATTTATACAATGTAAGTACAGTATTCGAAGTACCCTTTGCTTTCGTTGATCTCGCTCTGGTCTGGTCATGAACTCGACACGCCCGAACGGGCCTCGGCCCGTGATTGTCATGGGACGAGAAATGCAGTGATTAGTGGAGATCCTTCGTGGTATCTTAGTCTATGATCTTGGTTCGGTTGATTTAGCAAACGCTTCGGGATTCGTCTTCTTCGCGGTCGATCGCCCGGAAGATCCTGCCGATCGGCCGATCGTCGTCGAATTCCGGACCGATTGATTTCTACGACGGTAGGATATCGAGCTCAAGGACACTTTGCGTGCTCGGAGACAGCAGGTCCTCGCTTTTGTGCACTAGGACGTTCTTGAAGTCGCGCAGCTTCTGCGGTTGCAGCACCGTGGCTGGATTCCTGGGCAGAGTCGCGATAGGGTTTGTGCTGTGGCTCTTGAACGGCTTCTCGTAATGATTGATCGCGTTTTCACACTCGGAATTGTGCCTCCTCTTCCCGGTTAGCTTGACGTTCGGCTGCTTCACCGAACCGGCCGGATCCCTGTCCTCGAAGCAGGGCACCGTCTGCATGGACACGGTGTTCCTGCGGTCATTGAAGAGGGATCTCGGATTCAAAGTTACCTCTCTGGCCGAGCCGAAGTGCTTGAAGTTCGCGCATACCGGGCTGTTCATGAAGCTGGTGTCGACGGAATGCGGTTCAGGAACCCGTTTCTCGATCTTGATCTCGGTGACGTTCTGTCGGATCAAGATGTCCGGCGCGGCTTCCGGCAACGGCTCCTGCGAGATCGGCGGCCACTCTGGATCCCGCGCCAAGTCGCGCTCAATGGCAAGGAACTTTCTACGGGACTTGTCGATGTTGTGCCAACGGTAGCGGAGCTTGTTGAAGACGAGGTAGTCGACGAAGAAGTACTCAGTGAGCAGAGAGATGACGAAGTTCGCGGCGCCGTAACCGATTAAGATGAACCGGAAGCTGACGCTTTGGGGAACCACCAGCTCGAACCAGTCGACCAACCAGTCGAACGGGAAGGTCGCCAGGTAGACGGAGAACAGGCTGAGGAAGATGAACGCAGTGAGGAGTCCGTAATTGGTGAACAGTGACTTCCGGTACGGGTGTCCCTTGGAGAACGCCACTGCCAGGATGATGTACTGCATAGAGCTGATGATGAAGAGCGTGTAGTTCTCGGTGCAGCCTACGTCGTCCTTGTCCTCGAGTGATTTCGCTGTCGCGTTGAACGGCTTGAACCAGTCCATTTGCTGAAGATGCCACAGGCTGCCGCATTGGAAGATCGCCACAATTAGGATCTGAGTGACCAGACTCAAAATTGGCGTGGTGCTGATCAGACTGTTCAGCGGCGTGGTCTTCACCAATGGGCCGTCGTATGCCTGGGTACGACCGAAGAAGAACGCGAAAATGGAAATGATGAAGAGATCGATATAAAGGAACTCGATGTCCGTTAGATTGGACTCGATGCTGTATAGAAGCATCACGGAGATGAACTGGGTAAGAGAGTAACTAGCCATGTACTTGAAGATCCCGAAGGACGTGACCAGCGCGGCACGACCTTCCCGGATCACCGTCAACACGGAGGAGATGTTGATTTCGCGGCTAGTAAACGGCGAAGCCACCGACGACTCCGTGTCGGAGAGAGATATTCCCGTATGGGCTGCCTTCAGGGCTCCGCAATCGTTCGCACCGTCGCCCACCATCGCTGAAAATGTACATTAATTAGTACTCTCCTAATTGGAAGGTTCGAATGAAGTTATAGATTAACAGGACACATACCAACGTAGTATCCCAGAGACTGCAACTCCTGAACGAGCTGCTGCTTCTGGTCTGGCGACATCCTCGCGAAGATTGCGCCCCGTGTGGCCAGTTTGGGGATCAGCTCGGGGTAGTATTGTTTCACTAGTGCCCACGTCTTGCCGGTCAAAGCGAACACGTATTTGTTCTTCGAGCGGTGTAAACTGAAATAAAGATAAGCTTTTAATTTCGTACCAATGGAAGATTCCAAATTTGTCGAACGAAAGCCAGGACTACTTACTCATCAGACAAGTAATTGACATCGTTGAAGCCACTTTCGACTGTTTCTAGACTGGCCACGCTGTTCAGATCAGTCATTTCGCTGAAGTTACTGTTCCCTTTCGGCGAAACTGGCGTCGGTTGGCTGTTGCTATTCGTGAAATAGATCTGCGGTTTTGTCTGGTTTTGCTGGGTCGCAGAGACTGCTATCACCGGTACACCCGGCCTCACAATTTCGCAGTCCCTGGCGACTGACAATGCGGTCAGCATGTTGTCTCCAGTCACCATCACGGTCTTGATACATGCTGCGTTCAAGGCATTGATCACCGGTGTACTTTCCGGTTTCAATCGGTTCTCCATGACCACGAACGCTAGAAACGTCAGATCGGACTCCGCAGACTCACGGCTCAGTCTTTGGACTTTGGCGTAGGGAAGACGATTCAAGGATTTATGGGCTAGTGCGATTACGCGGTACCCCTCTGAGGTGTATTCTTGCAATATAGCGCTGAAATCTGCTGGAACTATAGAAGAAACACAGTAGATTATTAACCCATGTAAAAGTACTCGAAGATAGGATATAAGTTTTTAATAGACATACTGGACTCAGCTTTCGAAAGACTCAGAATCATTTCCGGACTCCCTTTGCAGTAGAGATCGTAGTGATTCGCGCCCAATGTCCTGGTGATTACGCTCATCCTCTGAAGGGTAGACGTGAACGGAAACTGTCGTACGATACCGATCTCTAGGCCTTGTTCTCCTAACTCCGCGGTGGAACCAGCCAGAGTGGTCTCGAGGTTATTCAAAGAGATGTTGTCCATCACGTCGGAAGACATGGAGTTTTGTCGGCTAAGCGTCATCCTCAGATCGTTGGGCAACTTTTTCAACAGTTTAGAGCCTTTCGGTGGTCGGACTACGGTTGGGAACAACATAGAGAACTTCGACGTGTCGGACACATCTGGTTCTTCCAGGGTCCAACCGGTGGACTCGAACATTTTCAAATCAAGTGGATCGCCTACTGGCTGATTATCGATTATAGTGATCCCGTGGCACGTCACCATACCAATCAGTAAATCATTCAATGGTAATGCCATGATATCCTTCGTAGGTAATTGGAACTTTTTATCCACAGCGGGTACCACGCCCCACATGTCAAGCCCGTCTTCGGTCAACGTGCCGGTTTTATCAAAGCAAATGCAGTCGATCGACCCGGACACGTTAATAGTCCTCGGACTTGTGCAGTATATCTTGTTGTTCTCTAATCGACGTTGCGCCACCAGGCGACCAACTGTCATAGCTGCTGGTAAAGCGGGAGGTACCACAACTGTGATCAGATCCAAAGCCTCTAGGACAATGTGACTGGTCTGCACGCCTCTCATAACTTTTGTTACGACGGTGTAGACGACACCGATGCTGGCTATACCAGTTAGCAGGATCACGAATTTGTACGAATCTTGTTCGAACTTGAAGTCCACCGGAGGAGGGTACATGATGGATCTCACTAGGGCACCCTTGCTCGTGTTGAATCCGGTCCTCACAACTACCGCCAGTACCTTCTCCGATCCGTAATATCTCGTTTGGATAACCTTGGTACCACAGAACAGCGTGTGCCTAGCGTGTTCTTTGATGTCATAGGTGATATCGTTGGATGAGGGGATAGGTGTTTTCGTGACAGGAACCGACTCTCCAGTTAGCATAGACTCGTTAAGAATACAGTTTCCGGTCAACAGTACCGCGTCGCAAGGCATCAAACATCCGTGAGAAGGAATTACCAAGATGTCCCCGGGAACTAGTCGTTCCGCGGGTATTGTTGCTGTTTGGCCGGTGGCACGATCTCTCATCACAGTTGCCACGTCGGAAGAGTGAATGGTGGACATGAGATTTTGTTGGTTCTGTAAACAAATCCTTAGTTATTAATAAAGAGACGAAGATTGGGCAAGAAAACGAAACGAGCGATCACGCACCCGACGATTCTGGAAGGCTGCCATCAGTATACCGACGCTGGACATTGACAAAATAGCCATCGCGTAGTAGTAGTAATTATCGGCCACCCAGAGACAGAAACTGAGCAGTTGGAAGACATAGAATGGATTGAGAACTTCAAGGCCGACCAGTGTCACGATACTCTTTACTGGGATAGTGATCTTGTTGCTTCCGTAAACGCATCGTCTATATAATACGATATTTTCTCATTTGTACGCTCGTGATTTTATTATAAAACAAAGACGTAGATCAAAGAAACGTACCTCATATGTTGTTCATGGCAATTCAGTCCTTGCATCTGGTGCAACGTCGAAGTGAACACATCAACGTCCAACCCGCGGAGCTTCAAGAACTCGGCTCTTTCAGGGTCCCAGACGTAAGTAAGTTTCTTGCAATGGAAGAGGACGATGGATTGGATCTCTGTACCAACAAAGTTTGTTAATTAAACAAGTAATAGTTAAAGAATATGTTTCTCTAATTACTCGATTCTTACTTTTAAACTGTCCTCCCGCTAGGTGCAGCGATAATGACGGATATTCTTCCTTGACTTCCTTCACGGTGATCATGTTATCATTTTCCATCCATGGCTCGTTATTCATAAGTGACTCTCCATCGAACGGGTTGTTTCTGTGAATAAAATACAAAAAATCGAGAGGTTAAACGGAGACAAAATTAGGTTGAAAATAGACTTCCTCAGTAAAGAAATGATAGAGTGGAAATACTAACAATACATCTTCAGCAGCCAAGGTCTTCAGTTTCTTCACGTAGTAACTCGTGTGTTTTCCTTGGAACTTCTCCACGAGCAAAACAGTATCCGCGTCCTCCAGTCGGCATCTGGAGTGAGTGCTTTGTAACATCCATTGTGGTACCCAGTGGAAGACCAGTCTGAGAATGCCCCCGGTGACGAAGATTAGGAACCAAATGATGAAAGTTAAAAGCTTATTCCTCTTGTATCTGAAGAAAAAATGAAAGAAATCGATCGCGTCATAATATACAAAATAAATAACTCGATAATAAAGACACATACCCATAGATTTCCATTTGATCCTCCTCACCGGGGTTTACGTAATCGACACCATTTTTTAGGTGGAGAATGCCGGTACCTCTGGCACCTGCAGGTAAAAGCAAGTCTTATTAAAAATTAAGACAACAAAGTGTCTCGTACACAATTCAGCTACAACTTGAAAACGGCAGAAGGCAGACATCTACAATAAAAAAATATAAAAACAATAAGAAAAATTAAACGACATCAATGTATCAGGTGATCCATATATTAGAACAGGGCGTTTCAAAGATTTCAAGATCGTTTCTTTCAATAAACATCTAGCGATCATCAGTCGGTAAGGTTGGGCGCTGATGAAACCGGAAGCTATCCCTTACCCTCCAGAAGTTCCGTTTTTTGTTCCCGCTGTTGATCAGCGGTGTTGTTGGTACCGTGTGTTCCGAACACGCTGTACGCGTTCCTTGCGAAGTTCAGATTCAGTTTGCTCGGCGTGGGTGGCATGACTGCTACAGGTATGGGAATGGGAATAATCTTTCTCTCTCTCTCTCTCTTTCTCTCTTTCTCTCTCTCTCTCTCTCTCTCTCTCTACTCTTCTCTTAAATCAGATACGATCGATCGTATCGTTCGCTAGATCGGTGTACCCAGGACGATCCGCAGGGCGGACTCGCGACAGCACCGTAATCTCTCCTTCGACGATTATCCTTCCTCCTAAATTGATCCTCGTAGTCTCACTACTACATCCTACTACTAACCCTTATCAAACTACTAATTTATTGTCCATGGGCCGTGCGCCGGACCCGGTCTAGTTGTCCAAAAGCAACAGCTGATCGAGACAACCAGGACGAAGAAAAAGAAAAAAGCAGTTTGTCAACTGTCCTCCAGGATAGACAGAGGGGTGATCGAAACACTAGCGGTAGAACGGGCGGGTATCCAGCCGAGACCGGGTATTCCCGAACGATGGCACCCGGCCAGAACAGTCCGCGGGACGAGATGGCACGCTGTTGCAAGCAACAACCCCGTCTGCTACCGACACCGGTTGTCCGCCATCGTTCGGTCCATTTTCAGTGTTACCCGGTTGGATCCTAACGCGGCGTTCTGTTGCATTTGGCTGGCATAGAGGACCGACTGATCTTTCGGATGGCTGATCCCGCGGCGGGTCTTTGATGACCGCGTCTCCACTAGGATTAGAATTGAGCGGCAGGAGTGCGAGGACGTTGAGCTTCGAGACGGCAGCAGCTGATGCTATCGTTTCGGACCTGCCCCCAGGTTCCTCGATTCGTGTCAGTCGCCAGGATCAGTCAGCTTTCGCCAGCCAATTCGCAGCGTGATCACGGCTCGTTCACCTTCGCTCATACCGCGACGTTGGCACGCCTGGTCCGAATCTCTGGCCGTCGATCTCGGACGGAATAGTCGAGGTACCTCGAGATCCCAACAATCCACCGAAATTCCCTTCGTCCTGGCTGATCCAAGCTGGCTCCGTCCTCTTACTCCGAAACCGGGTTTCACCGCGTCTCTTGTATGCTCGTGCCTCCCTTTGTCTGCCTTGTGCGATCTCAAATACATTACGGGTTATAAGGATATCTTGGTCGCCGTCGGATGTCTCGATCGGCAGGAACGGAACCACAGAAAGAATCGTTTCTTCTTCTCCCTGGACAATTAGTTATCTGATTTATCGACTGGATGATAATCGAGTCGATAATTTAGTCTACCGATCGGGTTCTATGTTACCGATAACAATGGAGTTCAGTGGTTCAATGATTCACTCGTCTAGGTGTAGCTTGTAGGACGACGAATGTTACACTGTCCTGTTAGCCTTCGCGGAGAACTGTCTTAGAGATCCTTGACGAAGGATCGAGTAATAGAACAATTGATCGTGTGACGCAAGAACGGAAGCTTGTTCAAACGATCGATGTCACAAGCTGAAGGGGGCAAGTTTCTGCCTGTGGTTTTCACGAGTCTATATATAGAAAGGATTGCGTGAACGTTTGGAGTCGTTTCGCGAAGACGATCACACGATCTTCACGAGTCTCTTAAATGATCGATCACAAACGGCGATTCACGCGCGAATGTATCACTGAGAAACACCTTTTCAGCACAGAACACAACACACACGCGCGATTCAACGACGGTCCCGTGATCCCGAAATTATTGACTCCTGGCTGATCGTCCTTGCTGACTGGCAGCCCACGTACTCGATGCTCACCGGTTCCTCCAGCTCGTCTGTTCAGATGATCCGCTTAAACGATTCACCCTCTTCGGGACTTCTAAGTACAGAGAACACGGTGCAATAGTTTGTTCCTAGCATCTTGCTCATAATGACGATCCCGATATACGTGTCTGGTTCCTCGGTGGGTCCGGATTGATTTACGGCACGCCGGCAAACTAGGAAACGGAAAAGAAAAAATCCCACTCCTGCAGGAAGTCACTTTGCACACGGCCGTGTTCTCCGTTGAGTAACGCGCATCTGCGGCTCGACAGGTACGACAGCCACGACGGTAGTGTTCACACTCCGGGCACACGCTGCTACTACGTCTGCCCACTGCTCCGACATGCAACGACTTTTTATAGGTGTCCACGCTCGCGGTGAAACGACGACGGATTTCCGATTGGCATACCTCGCGGGATCGATTTTCCCAGTAGACGGTGGATTACCCGGAAAAACTTGGACAGACGACAACCCGCGCGCCTCGGTGCTCGCAACGTGCTCGCGATGGATCTAAGATGGCGACCAGCCCCGGGAACGGTTTCCTCGTCCGAGCCGAATTACAACACTGTTGTATCGTCGCTACACGCCACGCCAGTCGATGGAATTCCTCCTGTGTGCGTGCGTGCCCGCTTGACGTGTGTGTTGATGCGTGTATGGAGACGTGTGTGTGTCACGAAGGCCTCGTTACAACCGACTAAACTGATTCTCTCTCGTGCACGATCGGTTCGCGTTCCTCGACCGACAAGAGCGCACGACAGCTGGCACAAAAGCGTTCGCCCCAATTACCAACGAGATTCCAGACGCGAATGCGTTAAGGGAGACGTTTGGCATTAGCAGAAGACTTGCGCTCTGACTGCCCGACCCGGTTCAGGGCCGTACCCACCGCCGCGCCTATGTCCAGGTACGCCACGTGTACCGTACCATTTTTCAAACTTTTTTCCACTAGGACTCTCTACGGTACTACATTTTGCATTCTGATATTATGGATTGATGAGTAAGTGAAATTAGAATTAAGTAGAAGCAGTATATGTTTCCAGGTTTATGAAACCAGAACCGATTCGATTACGCGTTGTCAACAATTTTGGCAATTCGCGCGCGCTCGTTAACCGTCCTGTCAGCGATTTCCACTTCGAGCGCGTTTCTTGCCTTGAATTTCATCTCTTTGGAATGATTCATGGATATTTCAGAGCACCGATCACTTCGCGTTGAGAGGAGTTATTTTAAAATGGTAATATTGCAGCATCTTCGATCGGGATTATTAATAGTCGATCAGTGGAAGAGTACAGGGAATTTTTAACTTAGAACGTCAATCCGTTTGAAAACAGACGCGGATGGTATTGCACTATGAAATTATGTAATTAGTAATCTTCGGTTGGAGCGGCCTCGACGGAGAACAGTAAAAATAAATGCACGTAGAATTCTTATCTCGTACGCAATGATGTAATCATTAATCCTAGAGTGCAGTCAATGTAGATTGAACTTGCTGAATGAATCCAGTATCAACGAGCATCTACAAAAGGTACAAACACTTTTTCTATCAAATCCTATAAAGTTCAAACGTCTCCGTCATAACCGATCCAGATCAATATAACCCTATTACGAACAGAAGTACCATTTTAACCCCGTAAATTGTTCATCCAGGCAAAGAACATAATCTCAATCGTTGAAGCCAAAGAAGATTCCATCTACTGTCAACATTTACCCTGGAAACCCACGAACCGGTGGTTTACGTCGAATTGCGTAATTCCCGATCCCCGGGTGGCCAGTTTAAGTGCCATGGCGCCGACAATGATTGAGCCGCGCCTGAGATATCCCTACCAGCAGGTACTGCCTCGACCTACGACGACGTCGCCGCTCGTGACTCATCTGTCCCCACTGAAACCCCGTTCCATGGCACGGGTACGGCCCTGTTAATTGCACCGCGGCTCGAAATGCATCGCCGGTGTCCTCTGTCGAAATTGTCGGCGGAATGCACCTGTTTAGGCCCGTTCCGCCGAAAGTTCCGGCCGCAGTCAGACGGTTTCTCTGTTAACCGACCTCGTCAGCTATTCGTTGTCTCGCTTTTATCCAAGGCCCGCGCTAGTATTGAACGGAGCCGCGGCTGACACTCGGTTCGAGCTAACTCGCAGCCAGCACGTGCCAGCCTGAAAACGTTCACACCTAACTACCGACCGGCTGGCGGGGGAAATCTCGTGCCCTCTTCCGGGTAACTCCGAGCTGTACCCCCCGGCGACCGACCACCGGGTTTACCCTGACCCCTGCCAGTCGGCTCGCAGGCGCCTGGGGAAATTTATTTGGACAACGGCTGGACTCTGGGGACTTCAACCCTTTAGGCAGGAGGATTTTTCAAAATGTTGAGATTAGTATTATATATTTTAGATTTTTATGGGTATGGAGGATCGATTGAGATTCCTTGAGATTCATTGAGATTTTGATTGGCTTTGATATGTGTTTTATATTATTATTGTCTTGATTATATATTTTAATTTTAGTTTACTGAATCAAGCTGGTGATTCCTTTGAGAATCAGTTTTTATGGAAGAGGACTGAACTTTCTATTAGAATAAGTCCTCGGAGGAAACGTTTCTACTTAATCCAGGCTCTCGGATAAGCATCTACAGTAATATGAATCTTCCAAGAAGTTTCGAAACCATAGGCGCGTGCAGTTCCCCGGAGAAAGAGGAAAACTGCGAGGAGATCGTCTAACAGTGCCAGTCGCGATAACTTCTCCGTATTGTTTGCTTGATTTCAATTTCCTTTATCAGCTCGGGCATCGCGACATATTCGAGTGGAATATTTTTTCCTCTTTCGCTTCAAGTCCCACGTCTCCCTCTCTCTGTTTTCCCGTTTAGCGGAAAGGCTGTCGTAATTGTTCACGAAGAGATAGCACGGACTTATGTAAGGGACATTTGAAATTGCATAAATGGACACGCTCCGTTCCCAGACATCGGAGATGCATCGGTCGAAGGAAACGTTGCGTCATCAATTTTTCCTGAACGAGAAGCCAGTGGGTTTCCGGTTAATTGGCGCACGGTTACCGATTCTACTCGCGTGCACCCATCCCGAACGCGTTTCACGTGTTCACGTCGCGTCGTTAATAATTACTGTCCCCCGACGAAACGCGCTCGATCGAGTGGATTAAACTGCTTTTTCGCAACGGTAAAAATAATCCGCGTGTTCGACGCATAAATCATTTTCCATGAACGACCACGAAAAGCACAATGAAATCATCGTCTTTGTTGAAATTTTATTCTACGAAGAGATCATTGGTTTCTAAGCGTTGAAAAATATTCCTCGTATCTTCAGGGTATTAAGCGTTCCGATGATTTATTATTCGGACTGTTTCTTTATCATTTTCGAGTCTTCATTCATTACTGGAATGTTAGAATCCACTTCTTTAGAAATATTCTTATTTATGAACTCCGCGAGGCTTGTAGTTTGTAATGTACAAGCAAATAATTCACGCTATCGTGTGCTAACAAACTTGTTTCAACACTGCTCGTTGAAGAAAGTCATCAAACAAGCGGGACTTATTTCTAACAGCAATCCGACGTGTAATCGGCCACGTATGGTGAATGTATCGAAGATAAACGTCGATTGTTCTCAGCTCAATTGCTTCTGATCGTTCTCTAACTGAATTTGAATACTTCCCGACACTTCGGCCGAGCGCCGCAAGGACGAACGAGTCCCCGCTAATTTCATTAATATTATTACCAGTCAATTCGTGATCGCGGTTACGTAATATCAGCATAATACCATCGTTTTTGTATCTACTCGTAAACATCGGCCACCATCGGTCCGACATGTCGCGGCGAATTATAAAAGTGTACGTTATCTTTCGCTCGTTCAATGTCATTGCGACGTTTCAATAAGCGCAACTCGAGTGCTCCAACGAGGCTCTTTATATTACCCGCTTTGTAATCTAATACCAGCGTTCAATTAACGCTCTTGTAACCCGATACACTCGAGGCGTTCGCAGTTTTTTTTCTTTACGAAGACGATCGCGAAGAATCGCATAATTTCGGCCAATGAAAGAATGATTTAGTCGAAACGAGTCGGTTCGACGAGAAAAAGAACTCCGCAAAGAATAACGGGGAGAAAACATTTTCTCACGAGTCTTTGTTTCCAAGAAAATCGACGCCGATAAACGAGCGTTTCGAGTAGCGCGTATATTATCGCGCGCTCTCGAAACGAAATTCCGCGAAGGCCGTAAACGTCGCGGGAAGAAGACGCGGTTTCCGTTTTATTTTCTCACGAGGATTTATCTGGCGCGTTGCGCGCACCGAGCGAGATAAAGTGCGGAATTTTTCTAGCCGTCCGCGTTTGTTCGCCGCGCCCGACATCGGATATTCCGGATCACGGCGCGATGCGAAAGACAAAAGACGTTGATTCCATCGGTCGAAGCGACACGTCCGTGTCGCGACGTTATCTTTTTCAATAAACTGCAGCACGAGCGGTTTATTGAAAAACCGCTTGAGATCCGAGATTAACGGGGCAGTGATTATATTTTTCTCGTCATTCAAATATGGCGGTCCTATCCGAAATGCCATCGGGACGAGTTCCAATTAATCGAGGTCACGACGTCACGTGAGCTTTTATCTCTTTAGGCATGTCTGCCTATGCGTGCGTATGTGTTTGTGTGTGTGTTTTTGGTCTTGTCTTTTCTGTGATCGTTGGTCCGATTGTATCTCCGATTTCGCGGCGATAAACCGTCGATGACGAGCGATACCGCGAATTCGCGAACGGCTCGCGTCGCGGAGCCACGCAGACAAGACGCGACCTCCGTGCTATTTTCGAACGGACGGCGTCGGCCGATTCGATGAAAATCGTCTCATATTCTAGTTACTCTACCGGAGACACTATGACTCGTCCCCTGCATTTAGAACGCCCCGTTTGAACTTTTCGGGTCTATAATAGTCCAGTGACGAGGTCGACGCGTTTTTCGCCGTCAGCATTTCCGGGGAGAGATCATTAGTAACTCGTATTTTATACAGGGTGATTCATTCGATTGCGAAACGTTCTCCATGTTAGGAGAACGCGTCCGATCGTCGGTTACTATTGAAATCGTTAATGGGCGTGTAAACGGTCTCGCTCGGCATGGAATACGAACGATTGACCAATTGAAATTTGTCCCGTGGTCAGGGGGAAAGTGTATGCAGCTATATTTAATGCCAAGATATCGGGACACTTAAAGATGATCGACACGAGCACGATAAAAGGTAATGTCGAGTCTGAAGATCACGTTTACCGAAAATCGTTCACGAACACGATCGTTACTTCGAAATATTCTTCGACGTAAATTCCTTCCGGCGAGTTTACTATCGTCGCGAACAAATCCAAAAGCGACGTTATAAATTCACGTTTGCGAATTCGCATTCTTCGAAAAGTGCAAACGAACAACTTTTTCTGCCAGTCACTTGAAAACCTCGGATCTCCGTCCACTCGGTTCAAGGCTGTTCAAAGGTTAACACGCGGCGAACAAATATAAAGCGTAATCTCTCGGGATCTGAATTGATTCGACAACCTGTCCGGATGATAAGCGAACCGTGTCCGGCCCGTTTGAAACGCGTGGGCGTGGTGGGTGGGACGGAGGAAAACTACTTGATCAATGAGAGATGCTCGATTGCACACCGCCTGTGCCTCGGGGTTATCTCGAGTCGGAACTCGGCGCGCTCCGGAGACCGTCTGGAATAGAGTCCCGCGATAGAGAGGAGAAAACGGAAAGAAGCGGAGCTCGTCGGATTCATAGAGACGGTGGACGAAATCGCGGCGCCCGCGCCATTTCGTTGCAGCCGATATAATATTTTCTCACTCCCGAAAAGATAAGCGGCGTAATCTTTCGCGAACGAGGCTTCTTATTTGCAGGACCGTGCCGGTCAGATGCCTCGATAACGCAGACTAGCTGGCTAGTCCTATTTATATCGGATCAACTCGACCGATAAAACGGAGTCCGGTGGAAAGCTGATCGTTTCCACCGACGCGTGCGCCTCGCTCGGTTTTCCACGGTAAAACAAAGAAGACCTTGTCCGGGGGTCTTCCGGTCTACGGACTCGCAGAAATCGATTCCCTTTTTATTGCATTCCATCGATCTCGACGGCTATATGAAGAATGCAGCGGTAAGATCGCGTCAGTTTTCTTGTTAAACTTCTAAGAAGACACTCTTGTAGAGAACACTTCGTCTCTATATACCTCGATGAATGTTTCTCGTCGAATATTCTACGTCTTCGCTCAGAAAACAACGAAACATTCAGTCGAAAAATGAAAGTTACCTTCGAGAATTCATTCGTCACTCGAGTTAACCTCGTTAAGTCGGTGATGAAAGAAG